GAGAGAGAGAGAGAGAGAGGTATGATTCTCAATCTGATTTCTTGTTTGCTTTGGCAGGTTGAATTGGATCACATGCAGCTTCCGCCTACCATTCGCCTCCGGCTCCAAGCTGCAATGCCAATACTCCCTCCAACCCAACCATTCTCCTTCTCAAGCCAACCGCCCTCACCATCCATAACAACTCTTCACTCACTTCATATTGGCACTCCAAATCCCACTTTCTCTCCTAGTGCTTTGACCCCACCCCCGAAAGCACCTGTTCCTTCTATTCGAGCCTCAACCACAAGTAAAAGCAAGCCTATTTCACAACTTGACCCTGACTTAGAAATTGACCCATGGACTTTGCTTGAAGATGGGACAGGGTCCGCTTCAGGGTCTGGGTCTGGGTCCGGGTCTAGCAGTGCGGGTGTGGGTGTGGACCAGGCTAACTTGAAGGCATGCCCTTGGCTCAAAGGGGCTGTCAGAGTGAGAAGAACCGATCTCACTTATGTTGGAACGTTAGATGATGATACGTAATGATTTATCTCATTGATTTTGGCTTTGAAGAAAGAGAAGACAAACCCCTACAGCCCCCTTATACACACAGGGTTCAGCATGAAATAATTTAAGATGAGAGCCTTGAGGACCCTTTTGTCAAATCTTGAGGTTAATAGGTGTTCTTAGAGAGAAAGAGGATGTGGGTTTTCAGGGCTTTGTAATGGGGGGTGCTGTAGGGTGGGGGGGGCGGGGAAGGGACACATGGCCCGGCCGGCGGGCTTCTAACCATTTCAATTGTCTCCCTTTTGCACGCCATTATAGGCTTGTTTACCGGGGCTGTTGTATATATAGATTATGTTCTATTTTTCCCAATTTGAGATGGGCAAAAAAGCCTCAGAATGGTCTGTAGGTGTTGTTGAGCTCTCGAAAGTTATGTTTCAATTTTCTACTTGCATTTGTTACTTCTGTTTTCCCTTGTTTTCTTCTTTTCAGTTTGAATGTGTAATATGCGTGTTTTGCGTATAGAAAAATACCACAGGCTATACGTCTCTATAAATACAACCATACAAATGAGCTTAATAAGATTAAATCAGGACGGTCCATTGTGAAGGATGTAAGATTTGGGTAAGTTTTTGAATTTTGTTCTATCTTAGTGAAAGTATGTATATTTACTTTTGGTACAAGGTGGTCATAATTAAAGGTGGATGTAAAATTGGGTGGCTGTATTTATTTCATTGGCCAAGTTCAAAGTTCAAATTTTTTTTTCTCAAACTTTGTGATATATTCAACTATCAGATTTCACATCGGATGGTTGCAAGTATCGGATGGTTGCAAGTAATTGTGACTTTCATATACTTAAAGGTAAATGGTTTACAATCCCTTAGATAAGGGTACAATATGCATATGGAGGTGTAGAGGTAAGGTGCACCATCAAATTTTATCGTGGTATATAGTTAAAATTTATTTTTATAGTTAATTATAAAATTTAAAATTTTAAAAATGGTTAAAATAAAGTACATTTATAAACATATGAAAATTTTGAAAATGGATGGTGTAGATAATATGTTGTAAAATGCATTATTTTTAAGATTAAATTTTTTTTTATTTTTTTTAGTCATACATCTCGATGTCGAGATGATCAATCAAAGGATTTTACGACATTAAAACCATCTTTTTCGATGGATTTTTGAGGGGCTGTAGTTCTACATTATAAGGTAGCATCCTTATATATATCTTAATAGATCGTAGAAAGAATTAATAAAGCTTCAGGTAACACAAGTACCCCTAATTAGTTTTTGGAAGTGAGGATCACCATATACACGTTAGTTACATACCAGTTTTATGAGGATTGGACTGGCCATATAGCTGTCATTTAAGTGATCGTGTATTAGTATTATTAGGATCGTGTAGTTAATACTGGATGGAATGAAATTTTAAAAAATTAAAAAATAATTTAAAAATATTAAAGTCGTTTTATTTATTTTAGTTATTCAAATAGGTCATTATTGGATGGTTCAACTGGTTAAAATCAGTCAGGTATTGTTAGTCGGGTTTGTAATCTTTTTCTTTAGATTGGATAGGCACCGGGGTTTGGATCCATTGGATCTGGATTTGGATCTAGATCTGAATAGTATATATAGGATTCAAATCAAGATCCGATTGTATTGCAAAAATTATTTTATATCTATAAAATGATATATAACAAAAAAAGGTATGTAACATATGTATATATATTATTCATTAATGTCTTGATCGGATTCACTTGTACCCTGATGCAATTTGAATTACTATTTGGATCCAAATTTTAAATAGGTATCCGATAGGTTTTGAATGCATATCCAAATCCAAAATTCAGGCCAAACCGGTTAAATTCTCAGCCCTAATTGGCAAGGGACAGGCAATTAGGTCCAGCCTCTATATCTATGCTACGTACATGGTAGACTTTCAAGGCAAACATTTGCAAAATGGAAAAGGGAATGGAAATGTTTTATATATATATTTTTTAGAGTTTGAAATTTATTTATTTTTACAACCATAATGTTCAAGTCGAGATTATCGATATAAATGATTTTCAATGCTTGAATTACAATTTTCGATGAGTTATTAAGTGGGTTTTACTTATATTTATAGGGCTGTAGCAAACCATTGTCCTTTTTTCCCTGATTGTGGAAAGCCATCAAGAAGTTCAAAATGTAAGTTACATGCAAGCAGAGTCCAACAATTCTTCTGAAAGCTACATGCTCTTTGCAATGATCAAGGAGGAGGATAAATGAAACGTGATCTATATGGTCATGGTGAGACCCATGACTATTGTTGCCATGGTCAACATCCACTCAATAAGGTGGGCGTTGATGGAGAGAGAGTAGAGATTTAATTGAAGGGCAAGCAGTCTATAATTCCCATAATATATAAAACTTAAATATTCCCCATTCATTCCAAATAGACGGCTGAGATGGTTCTAATTACAATGTCATGCTTCTATACTACTTTATTTTTAACTTTTTTACATTTTTTTTTTTGGGCGTCTACCTATAAAAGAAAATATTCCCAACAAAATAAAAAAACCAAAATGCCTTTGAAAGTTTTAAGGATATTTTGATCATTTTATTTTATCGGTAATATTTTTTTAGTTATGCCCCATTGAGATGACGACACATACCAAATTTCATATTCATATAATTTGTAAAAAAAAAAATTAAAAAGAAATTACTTTGAGGCATTAGATCTGGATCAAAGGGTCAGTAGTTCACTTGATCAAAATTGGATGGCTGGATTGGAGGAGGAATTAATTTGTAAAAAAAAACTAAAAATAAAATACTTTGAGGCATCAGATCTGGATCAAAGGGTCAGTTTCACTTGATCAAAATTGGATGGCTGGATTGGGGGAGGAACACATATGTCAAAAAAACGATAGTCTCATGAAGTTCTCATGGCCATGGGGACCATTTCTATTATGCAGGCCCATCCTCAAACTACAACTTGCGTGGATGTGAGCCTTTGTATCCCGTACTTTAAAGTGGAGCAGTTGATGAGGACGGATGATAAATGGCAAAAGTTTAGTTTTTACACATGGATGCTCATGTTGTATTTCTCTCTCTTTAAATTTGTCACTTTTAAATTTGTGGCTTTTAATTGAAGAGGACATATGCTATGATCCATCGGGAGCATAGTTCTACTCCCCCGGTGAGAAGATCTAAGTGGGAGAATTTTTTCAATATGGAATTAGTAGATGATTATTCTAAAATAAAAAATAAAATATTTGAATTTTTTAACACTTAGATCTAACCATCTAAAAATTGGATGGTTCTGTATTCAATCTCGAAACATTATTTTTTTGATGCATAGATGATTATTCAAAAAAAAAAAAAGGAGTTTGGAAAAATTTGAGCTTTTTAACACCTAGACCTCACCATCTAAAAATTGGATGGTTTCTATTCAATCTCGAGACAGTTTTTTAGTGCATAGAGAGTACAATTAGGATTTTTTTTTTTATCCACAAAATTTGGGTTCCTAAAATTAATTTTACGAGGGGTTTATTTGAGGGGAGTAAATGGACATTTTGCTCTTGTGAGTAGAAATATCTTTTGGCTTTTACGAAAGGCATTTGTACAGACATGGTGAGAAACTACTGATAATGATTTTATCTTCAAAAAATTTATAAGGTGTCAAACTTTTATTTATTATTATTTTTTTTGACAAAATTATGAAGTTGTATTGTTATGATATGAGGTATTAACCTTATACTATACGAGTAAAGTGCATTTAAAAATCCACTAGAGAAGGTTGTTCTTATGCTGGAAAACCCTCAAATCGATCATATCGAGCTTGAGATTCATTGACATGAAGAAAAAAAGGTCTTCTAGTCCCAAAAAATCGTTCATCTTCTAACACATTATCTGAACTGTCAATTTTCGAGATTCTTAAGTGTTTTTAGAGCTGCTTCCATTTTTGAAACTTTAAATTTCATAATTGGGGGCAACAATAGATTCTCATATCATCTCAAGGGTTGGCGGCACTGAAATTGCATTTTCAGCTCAGTTTTGAAGTGCACCTTACTTCAAGGTTGAGACCTTATTCAAACCTCACCCTTCTATCTTTTTCAATTTAGCTTTGAAGAGAGTGAGAGAGAGAGAGAGGGGGGGAGAGGCAGGGCAATACCCCAGCAACCTTAACACAAACATAGGTTTACCATGGAAAAATTTATGTTTAGCGCTCGATGTTTCTCACAACTTAGGGTTTTGTGGTGCAAATAGACAAATAAGAAAGAGGACAAGGGTGTTTTGGGGTTTGTATTGTGTGTGTAGAGAGATCTTGTGGTGAAATAGACAAATAAGAAAGAGGACAAGCGTATTTAGGCCTTTGTAATGTGGGTGTATAGAGAAAGAGAGAGGGAAGATTCAGAATAAGATGAGAACAATATCATAGGTCAAGAATCTTTAGGAGACTCATGACTAACCAATCTTTGATGAGACATAATCTTCAGGAGACTCATGGCTAACCAATCTTTCATGAGACGGTTGGGAGTGCGCTCATATATTGGTGCCACTAGTGCACGTCATTCATGCTATAATAAATGTGTAACATTATTATCAACTCATGCTTAGGAATCCAATCTTAAGACTATCTTAAGACTTATAAATCATGTGTTTGTGTATAATCCAATCTTGAGACGAATAAATCATATGTGTTTGTGTATGCATAGAAAACTTATAATCATGGTCCAATAGTTTTCAGTTGGAGAAATACTTAAAGGGTGTGGTTTCTATAAGGTTGCAATGTTAAACAATCCAATTAAGATACACCTCTAAATTTTTCATAATATGTAATTTTGGTGTAAAATTTTTTTAGGATTATCTCAAAATCTATTTTTATAGTCAAGTATAAAATTTTAAACTCCAAAAATAGTTAAAATTAAGTAGATCTATAAACATATGAAAATCTTGAAATGAACGGATTAGATAATGTGTTGCAAAATGCACTATTTCTTGCACTCAAAATTTTATTTTTTTTCATATTTTCATATCCCGATATCGAGATGATCTATTAGAAGGTTTTTCAACATTAAAACAACCTTTTCCGATGGATTTATGAGATGCATTCGTAATTCTACATTTTAAGGTTGCGACCTTATATAAACTTTTTCCATACTTGAATCCTAATTATGTCAAAAGCATGTTACCATTTTGGAAACATAATTGTTGATGTTTGAGAACTATCTATTTCTGGCACATAAACATAGTTGTTATTAGAGAAATGTCTCCTTAAAGGGATTAGAGAAATGTCTCCTTAAAGGGATACGAGTTCCAAGGAAACTGTTCGGCAGTATCATATTGATGATATCATTGATGATGATGATGCCATTGTCTAATTATGTCAAAAGCATGTTACCATTTTGGAAACACAATTGTTGATGTTTGAGAATTATCTATTTCTGGCACGTAAACATAGTTGTTATTAGAGAATATCTCCTCAAAGGAATACAGGTTCCAAGGAAACCGTTTGGCAATATCATATTGATGATATCATTGTTGATGATGATGCCATTGTCATTTAGAGATCCACAAATACAAAGTGCATGAATTCCTTGCGAGATAAGCATCCACACATAAAGCACTTGAATTCAACTAAGTAATGTGTTTCCCTTATCTAGCTACATAACAGTAATATTATGACATACAAATTTCTTCATGTCAACCCCCTGTTGCCAATTGTAGAAAATTATGACAAACAAAATTTGCAGAAAACTATGATATAAGAGGCCTTAACAGGGTTCTGCTGGTGTGAAGATATCTCCCGCTGTTTTCTTGAGCATCCCATAAACCTGTAGAATGAATAGCCAATGCCAAAAATAAAGCCTATAAACTATTGGCTCTTCTGTTTTTTGTTTACAAGTAAAGAGAATTGCACATAAAATAGACTAATGACTCAGGCATTGCACATAGACAATAACACACACACACACTTGTGTTCTACATGTATGTCCAACAAACACAAATATTCTCAAATACTAAAATAAAATAATAATTCCAAGTGCATGAGTACCCACATGTAAATACATTAACCTGCACATGTACCACCTCTGTTGTGTGCATGTGTTCATACATAGCACACCAATTGCCACAATATAAAAACTATCAAAAACTCTTGACGAACTTATTACAGAAAATGGTATTTCATTGATCATAGTCCATTGGAAGAAAGTATATTTTTACAACTTGGAAACCATTAATCCAAAGGGATTATATACTATGAGACTGTTTATGTTTGGTACAAGGTCACAATCATTTGTAGCCATTGGATGTGAAATTTTATCTTGGACTTTGTGCTTAAACAATGACACATCTTCAACCACCCGATTTCAAATCAATTATGATTCAATTATCAAAAGTAAATGGTTTCTTTGTATACATTTCCTAATCCAAGAACAGGAATCCCCACTCAATTATAACCTCTTTAAAGAGAATAAATTTTAGTAGGACTCATAAACACTCCAGATTCTCTAGATCAGCTTGTTCACCAAACAGGCTAGAGATCTTCACTTGTATCATCAGGAAAATATAAGAATGCATATTGTGTGGATAATTAGCATAGTTGGTGGTTGAAATATTAGACACAATTGATGTTCCTGGTGCTTTGATGTTAACTTCTTAGGATAGGTGATTATGGTGATATATTATGTAACTGTTGCTCCTTAATCGGGGAGGAAAATGATAGATTTTGTCTGCTATATTGATCAATTATTTATTTCATTGCTTGCTTCTGTCAAACGTTTCACTTTCTCAGTGAATCAGGCATCAAACAATGGTATACTCGCTTACAACTCGCAAAAAACATTTGGGCTTTGAACTAGGAAACTTCAATTGGATGCCTACTCTCTTTCATGGAGTATCCAATTCTTTAATAATGAAATTACAGTGGACCAACCCATAATTTTTGGAGCCGAAATTGAGCCAGTTTAACAGTCTCTAAGTTAAAACAAATAGAAAACTTGTGCTTTCTAATCGTATGCAAAAACCTGAGTTCTCTAAGGAAAAACATTTATCCAAAGTTAGCGATGACGTGATTCTGTAACCTCACAACCCCTCAAAAAAGAAGGTTAGAAATTAGAACCAGTATTGGAAAACTCGGCGAATCCAAATCAGACTGGGCCATTCGGGCTCCACAGGCTCTCGATTGTTCCCAATATTTTACTTTTCTTTTCTTTTTAGGACTCAGTCTGTCGAAAACTATTGAAAACTCTTGATGAACTTAATGCATGACATTTATAATTTCAGTTTTTTCTTAGTGTATACATGTGCAAGAGGGTGTTTGTGTGTCTGTCGTATCATATTGACAGCTACATAAAAAATGAAAGGAGAAATGTAGAGAACAAAGAGTACCTGCTTAGTAGAAAGTCCAATATTTGCCAAATCTGACAACTGAAACCAGAATACATTCCACTTAGTAAAGGAACAATTTTCATAAATAAAATGTTTAATTCAGTGAAGAGTAATGATCTTGTGAGATCCTCCCACACCCATGTGTGTAGGATCCCAAAGGATCACCATTAAATTTGGCACAGATATCTAGAAAAGTTATCACATGGGTGTGGGACTTGACTTTTCTAGAGATCTGTGCTAAATTTAATGGTGATCCTTTGGGGGGTCCTAAACATATGGGTGTGGGAAGGTCTCATAGGATCATTACTCTTTAGTGAATAGACATTTTATGATTTTTTAATGATAATTAATGAATACAAAGAGAAATTAACCTCCTTAAAAGGTTTGGGATCTTCCTCCTGAAGTTCAAGTATGTATTCTGCTCTCTTCTCCCCAATACCCTAAATAAAAATTAACAGATGACTGAACAACAATGATATCTATAAAGAGAGAGAGAGAATGAACAACAATGATAGCTATAAAGAGAGAGAGAGAGAGAGAGAGAGAGAGAGAGAGAGACTAGAACAACAATGATATCTATAGAGAGAGAGAGAGAGAGAGAGTACTTACTTAGTAGTTACATACTACTTCCTCTCTGACAATAACGAACAAACGAAAGGTACGGAACTAAACGTAAGTATTAGAAATGTATTAC